GCCTGGTACATCCTTGCGCCGCTACGTAGAAACTCAAGTCTGCAGCGGCTGAGGCCACCCGGATCGGAGGCCACTCGGCGAAGGGACGGCTCTGCTTCAGCTCGCCCGCTTGACGGTCAGGTCCACTACAACTACGTCGGTGGGCCGCCGCCCTCGCTTTGGAGGCAGGCCCGTGACTGGTCGGTGATGGTTTTGGGCATGCAGCGTGCTGTCAAATCTGCCAAGTTCGCACACGCTCCTTCTGCCCACCGTGTCGGATTTCTTATGATTTCTTCATTCTTCCACCTGAGGAGCGATTACCGAGGCAACCTCCAAGCATATGCCGGGCTCCCAGAGGGACTCAGCACTGTGTCTCGCAGTTAACCAGTTGCTGACTTTGCAGACAGGTACATACTGCCACTGCGAACGCCAGGATGGCCCAGCCTACGCCACTGGCAACCGGGCCATGTTTCAGAGGGGCCGTGGCCACAACCGGGCTGAGCCAAGCACGAAAGGGCAGATTAGACAGGTCAAATCTGCCAGGCCGTGGTTTCATCACCCATCTCGCTCTTTCCGGGCGTGATCGGCCATCCAGATGCCTGGTTGCAAGTGGAAACGCCAAATCGGAGAAACGATTCATTTCGGATTGGATATGATTGGCTCGAATTGCTCCACAGCTCCACGTCTTACGTGCTCGAGAGTCTGCCAGGACATGTGATCGTGATTGATGCCGTGTCGTTTGCACGGTGACGCCGCCTTTGCACGTCCATGCCTAAGTGACGGATCGGTTCAGTTATTGTGAGCTCACTTCGCCAATGTGTGGCACTCAAACTTGCGCGAGTTTCCAGTTTTCAAACTTTCTGATTGTTCCTTGCTCAGGAAGAAACTTTTCTGAGAATCTTCAGGCTTGAATCTTCAGCCGTAACTTTTCAAACACCTTGAAATGGTAATCATTCTAGTCACTGCCCTACTTACCAGGGATAGCGAACATCTGTGTGTGTCGGACTGCAGCGTAAGGACAAGACAGGCGCGCATGTGACGTCCCCGTCGGTGCGGTAGCCCATGCTCATTGAAGTCTCAGTTCAAAGAATGCCTGAGATCTTTTGCGCCCGAAACCCCATAAGCCCCATACCCTAAGCCCTAGACTCTAGACTCTAGACCCGCGAAATGCAGGTGTCAGAAGATGTCACCAAGGCCGGCCTCGAAGCCGCAGATTCCCAGCCTGCTGGGCCAATGGTCGAGGCCTCTTGCCTTGGGGGGCTTTGCCTTCTTCGGGTTTGGGGTTGAAGATTTTGAAGGTTTAGGGATCTTTGGGTTGCTTGGGTTTGTGCTGCTGTACGCGCGGTGCCGTGCAGGTGCCATCCTGACCCACGAGCAACACGACAATTTCAGCCAGTACATGAAGCAGAAGGCGAGTGGTAGCGATTGTCAAGAGAAAGGGCCGCCAATCGTGCATGTGGGACAGCCTGAGACGGTTCGCGATTTGTGTGGCATACCTTACCGATTCAATGTGCAGGTTGACTATGTTCGCCTGCCGCTTGCCCAGTCACTGTTTGCCCACATTTAACAGTTCACCATCCTGGGTGCGTATCCAGTGCAATCGGACCCCAACCGCAGGCTCCTCAAGGCCCAAGCTCCCCGCCAAGTCTCCAGGTGTGCGGGTCAAAGCCATGCGGTGCCCATGGCCCTCAGTTGTGGCTGCTGCGTTGACTGCCCTGGTGTCTGCAGTGGCAGCATCTTGGTGGTCTTGGAAGCAGCTCGAGACGCGCCTTGCTGCGCAGGAGGAGCGCCTTGCGAAAGACTTCGAGAAGCGCCTTGCTGCGCACGAGGATCGTTTGACAAGGTTGGAACAACGCTATGAGACCGGACACTCGAAACGGCCCAGTGTCACGGCAGAGGAGCCACGAAGCGAGATGCCAAAGTCCCCAAAGACCCTTCCCAGGCGCCTTCAGCACCATGCCGCAGACCAGCCAAAGAAGACAATAGAGGAGAACTTTGACTCGTTTGCCAGCTACCTCAGAGGACAGGAGGCGCCGGCAATGCTCTCGGCAATGCCCTGGGTAACGTGTCTGCTGGCTGTGAACACTTACGGTGAATTCCCCTCCGCCGACAAGGACATGAATTGTAACGATATCAGCGATCTTACTGACGCTGAGAAGGCCACGATCACCTACTCAGCCATTGGATTTAAAGCGAAGCTCTTCGCCGTGCTGGAGAAGCACCATGGAGACGTCCGTCTCCATGATTTGGCAGTGGCTTCTGCTGCCTTTGGTATCGCTGTGCTTCCGCATTTTCCGCCGGGGGTGAAAAGCGCCATGGGATTAGGTAACTTGCTGCGGCCAATAGAGATTGCTGCAAGTTCAAATCTTGATGACCGCTTAGAGATTGCCCGACACTTGTTGACACAGTACTCAACTGGAAATTTGACATTTGTGGGATTTGGCTTGGAGATGGTCCGCAAGAAGGTCATTACAGTTGAACCAGAAATGCTGCGAGTGGTTGCCTGGGGAACTTTGCGCTGGTGGCTCATCAAGCCAAGTGCTGACTCAGATTGTGACTATGCCAACTCCGCCTACTACGTGCAATCTGGCGGCCTGCAGAGTGCTCTGAGAAATATGGAAGGGTTCGCTGACTTGTCTAAGAGCCTGACGAATGAGACCACATTCAAAGAGACGTACCCAGCGTTTGCCATCCAGTACGCAGTAGAACACCCAGAGGTCTTGGACGAGAAGACCAGCGACGGTCTCACCATGATGATGGAGGCCAGCAAATTGCGCAGCTGCAAGGTCAATGACCTCGCGTTCACCGGGCTGCTTGAAGCTCATGAGATGCTCGACATGCCCATCAACACCATGGCGGAGTGGGGCAAGGATGCAGCAATGTTGGCAGAGGAGGCTGGCTACGCGAACCGGTCTGCCATTCTTGAGGAGAAGGTGTTAGAGAAGGACTTGGAGGACACGCCCTTCGTGTACCACTTCCCGTACATGGCTTTGCTTATCCTCGGGTCGCACATCGTGCTCTTCCTTGTTAGCATGATCTTCATCTTTGGTCATGGCTCCGGAAGTGTAACGCGCGCTACACTGGCTACGCACGGGCAAGACTTTGTGATGAAGATTGTGGTGTTCATGGCATGTAATGCGCTGATCATGTCTAGTACGGCACCTGCTCTGCTGCTCCGGCCTGGTTCCTTGCTAAAGGTCTCATGCAACCTCCACGTGCCTAGCAGCTGGCCGATCTTCTTCCTCTTGGGGGTTGCATTCCTGGTGTTTGTGATCCTTGACTTTCGCAAGGCCAACGATTTGGCACAAGGCCAGGGTCCTGTGGCCAAAACGGTGACAGCTGAGAACATCTACCAGGACCCCAAGGTGCCCATCCTTACTTGCTTGCACACCTTCGTGCTGTCCTGCGTGTTCGTCTGCGTTTACTGGTCTGCCTTGGTTCAGCCCATCGAGATGAATTTGTTCTCGAAGTTCTTGTGGTCGTGCTCCCTCTTTGTCCAGTATTACATCAGTAGCAAGTTCAAAGAAGAATCACGCATCCTGAGTTTCGCATCCTTGAGCCGTTGGGCTGTTCGCCTGGATGACCAGGAAAATAATGAGTTGTGGGCCGTCCTGCTGCGACAGTCCAAGATGGCGGATGGAGCAGTGAATGGGCAAATTCCCCGGCTAAGCCGGGTCGAGGTGCTCCTCCGGTTTGCCATGTGCGCCTTGGTATGAGGAAGGCAGCCTTATACAGGCCTTTTTTTCTTCTTGATTTTGATTTGACATTGTCCTTGTTCGGCACTATTCCTGGTTTTGGTGTGTTTTTTGGTCTTCAGACCCCCCAGGTTATGTATCCAACGGCTTGTTCCGCATTTTGATCGTGTACTCGCTGCCTGTCTATCTGGCGGCCTCTGGAAGTGCCAGTGACTTTGCCTTGAACGCCTTTGCCGTAACATTCATTTCAGAGCTTGACGACCTTCCAGACAGCGTCGACTACGAGTTGGGTGAGTATGAACCTCTACAGGGCGAACAGTGCGAAATGAAGCCGCTTGCGTGAGGGGTGTCTCACTTGCGAACTCTAGCTTGTACGGAATTGGGGAATATCTCTTCCTCTCTTCCCTCTGAAATCACACCTCTTGAATACTACTCGTACAGTTAAGCAGAACCAACAATAGTTACCTTCCTAGGGGTGTTCATATGTGAGGGGAAGAACAATCATGATGGACTGACTGATGAGTTCCGGCAATCTGCTGGTGGAAACTGCCCTGAGATTACAGAAAAAGAGACTGGTTCGAGAGCATTGTCCTCCGGGGTCTCCCTCCGAGTAGACATGTAGTGTTTCAGTCCGTCCATGGCTCCTACCCACACATTCGCGCAAGGTCATTCCTGGTCCTCCTGGACAAGGCTGGCCTTCAGGAGCAAGAGACCTGGGAAATTACCGGCAGAGGAGTTCCACTCACATGTTGAGCTGCTCGCTGCATCGTGTGTCCAGTTGCTGCCAGCTCTTCCGCTTGTTGAACTAAGTCACCGGCCATGGCACGATCGATAGGGGGGGCTGGCCCGGGTGGCCTGCGGCAGCCTCATCCTGCGCCCAGGGGCACCTCAGCTCTTTCGTGCGAAGCGAACGCAAAGGCAGATGCACTCTCTCTCTCTCTCTCACACGCCCAAACAATTCCGAGACTTCCGAAGTTCATTCATCGTGAGGTGGGTCTGCGAGTCGGTGTCTTCGCTCCATTGTGGATGTGCATGTGGCCTTCCACTTAGCAGCTGGCATTCTACCGTCAAGACAACAGGGACAGGTGGTGTGAGGATTTCGGGTCTGTCTGCCAGAGAATCAGAGGATATCCGAGGTAGCACATCTTTGTTTCGTCAGTCAGGAGCTGAGCACCCGAGCTGTTTCAAGATCCGCTTGGCCGCTTACTGTGTCTGTATCTGCGCAAGAGCTTCTAGAGTTCACAACTCCAGGGCAACCGTTTGTTCTTTTGAAGAGCACTGGGGGAGCGCCTGTATCCCAATCAGAGGGGACTCTCGTTGCCAGGGCTTAGTGACTTAGTGGCTTTAGGGTTTAGTGGAGATGTCTCGATGCTCTAACTAGGGTTCAGGGGTTTAGGGTTTAAGGGATTCAGGGTTTAGGGGGTGTAGGGTTTAGGTTTTAATGAGGGTTACTTGAGCGAAGAAGGTCTTGTCTTGCCTGGCCCAATTTCCTGCCTGAGGAATGTGGGCGAAGGATCGTGACCTTCTGCGTTCGCCAAGCTGGTAAAGTGCACAGGTGTTCTTGTTGACACCCAAAATGGTAAGGAACCAGGCAGCACGCCAGCCGTTGCCATTGTGAATCACCGTCACCGCTATGGTCGTCAGCGTCATCATCATCGTCATCATCATCGTCATCGTCATCATCATCATCACCATCATCATCATCATTATCATTATCATCACCATCTTCATCATCAACATCATCAACATCATCATCATCGTCCTCGTCATCATCACGATCATCATCACCATCATCATCATCATCGTCATCGTCATCATCATCATCATCATCAGCAGCATGCATCACGATCAGCATCAGCATCACATGTAGTGGCACCAGCAGCAATGTGAGGTCACAGGGCCGAGACATTGAGATGTTTGCAAAGCAAACATCAGCCCTGGTCTGGGCCGCTGCATGCGCGCGAGGGGTGGGATGGCAATGCTATGCAATGCGGTTGTTTCGTAGATGTTTCAGTGGATGGCCATTTATCTTGTTCGTGTTCCTGCATGCCTGTC